CAATGCTGACAATCAGATGTTTAATGGATGTGATGCTGGGTAGGGTTTTGCAAATTTCTCCACCCTGCTGAGTTTGGCAAGTACCGCCTCTCATTCTGTCTGGCCTGGAAACTGAAACCTCAGCTTTTGCTCAGAGTAAAATGGCTCTCCTTTTTTTATCTCTGTTCTTTTCCCTTCCCACTTTGCCTCGAGTGGGGAAGATAATGGTTTGTTAGGTAATTTTGTTAGGTAATTTTAGATTGCAAAGGGCCAGGCCATTCATATGCAAAAGCCTCTACACACAGCTTGGGTGGGGTGGGGTCTCAGGGAATCAACAGGGCGGAGCAAACAGCTATGGCTGATCCTCAGCCCTGACCTAAGAGGTCCCGGGTCTCAGTGTCCCACGGTAATCGCTGCAAGCACCTCTGAGAGAAAGCCGCCCTCAAGTTCCAACCGATGCCAGACAGTCCAGTTTCTCCCCGTATGAGTCTGGGTCCCCAGAGACTAGCCCGGAACTGGAGTTCAGAGCAGTCATGAGCTTGAGACTCCCTCCCGATTGAAAAAGACAACTGTGTCCTCAGTTGCCAGCCCTTTCCCCTCCGTACCTCTGCACTTTACTTCCGCACCTCCTCTGAGTCTCAGTGTGCTTTTCTCTTTCCTTCTAGTTGTAGAATTTCCACTCAGCCAGCCTTCCTGTGGTTCTGGATGATGTCCGTTTTGTCTTTGAGTTGTATTTTTGAAGTGGTTGTGCGAGGCAGCAATTTCAGGTGTTTACCTATGCCGCCATCTTGGTTCTCTGGTTTGTTAGGCTTGGAATTAGCTGGCCTTTGTTTTAACTTCCTTGGGTTGCAACCTTTACAAATTTTGCACGTTCAAATTAATATTAGAATCTTAAAATTTTAACACAGCACAGCAAAATCATAAATCAGGGAAGTGCAAATTAAAGTCCCTAAAAATTAGAAAACCAAAATAACATTACAGACAGATAGAAATCTCACTAGCTAAGAGTTTCTGGCGGGCTAACACCTTGACAGGAAGAGCAAAGAATCCCCAAGAATAAGGATTCTTGGCAGCTGCTGGGACGTCCTGCAATCTCTGTCACGTGTTCAGCCTCGCCACACACACTGGGCTTCCCCCCAAATGAGATTTGCCCCATCTTTAAACAAATCAAACAACAAAGAGACATAAAACATCAACAACACTCTCATGTTTCCCATCCTCGGCCATAAGCTGGGGCCCCTGATTTCACGGAGAGACATCTGTATTGCAGGCAGCGGTCTGGGCCCTTCTTAAAATTCTTTAGCATACATTCCAAGACAGTAGGTTTACAGGAGCTACTTCCCATGTTTGCAGTTAAACTGTGTAATCCCCTCCCAGTTAACAGAGACACAGGACAACACAAGATAGCTTTTGCTTTACGCAGGCTCTCACACTCACATTCACACACCAGTCAGTTCAAGTTTTGACTTCCACCCACGGAAAGTCCTGAACTGAGGCAAATGATTTGCCTAAGTAGTGATTAGCTACTTCTTCTGCCCCTAAAGGCAGGCCTGAACTCAGACTTCTCCACTGGGGGAAAACTCACCAGTCAGATGTCTGGTTCCAGAAAGGGTTTTCCTATCCTCCTTGGAGTTCACTGGAATGCAAGCAGGGTCCCCGATTGTCCCAGCCTGATGAGGAATGGGATCCAGTAAATCACAGGAGGCCCGCTTCCCCATCATCAGGGGCTCAGTCGAGTGTGCCCACCTGCCTTCTCTCGCACAGTGGTGCCTCAAGGGGGCAACTTCAGCTGCGTGTTCTCAGTCAGGGAAACCATTTTTATGTTACAGAATTTACCAGGTGGCTGAAGAATACACAGGAGTACCCGTAGATACAGGAAAAACCCATTTATTTCCAGATGTACTAGTACAGTGACTCAAGGGGTCAGTTCTCCAAATCCTGAGTAAACCAATATGGAGGAAGCTTTCTCTTTATACCCTTTTTTTTTGTTTGTTTTGTTTTTCCATTAAGTACTAGTACAGTGACTCAAGGGGTCAGTTCTCCAAATCCTCAGTAAACCAATATGGAGGAAGCTTTCTCTTTATACCCTTTTGTTTCTTTGTCCCCCAAATATGGATCATACTTTCGGAACTTAAGCAGGCTTCACAAAAAGCCCTGTGTGTTGGGATGGGGGCTGTGAGACGACACCTAAAGGCCTGGCCTGGTGCTAGCGCTGATAACCCCCTCCGGGGGTTGTGTATTGTTCATGGTTTATGGCCTCTGTAAAATGGGAGTATTTAGGTAAACAGGTCTTTCAGGACCAGACAATTAAGGAAGGGGCAGTGACTAGACTATAAGCTAACAGGAATGTGCATTAGGGATACAGAGTCAGGGTGCTGGCACCCCCCTTCCCATCCCCCATATCTTATTTTCCTCATCATTAGGAAGGACTATGTGTTTTTTGGAGTTCATGGACTTTTCCTGCCTGTTAATTTTATTGAAAGTGGAATTTGCTGTTTTAGTCCCCATTTGTAACTTCGAATTGTTTCCAAATGGTGAAAGAGGTAAGATTCATATCTAAGCTATTGTACTGATCATATTAACACAACTTTTCTCCCCACTTGGGATAGTCAGAGAACCATGAAAGACTGGAGAGGAATAAATTATGACTCTAAGTGCTGCAGAGGGGATTGAAATTGTATGCATGAAAACAAGATCCTTAAAGAAACAGAAGGTGTGGGATCCATAGCCATGTGCAAAGAACAGAGACATGATTTTATTTTTAAATATGTTTAAAGCTATGTAACAGACTGTTGCCAGTGGAAATCAGGTTCTTCCATGGGATCTTAAGGAAAGCATTCCAATTCCAAGGATACCATGCACAGGAGATTGTGGTGTGGCAAGATTTATTCAGGAAGGCTGCCCCTGGGTTTTCAATATCCCATCTCCCTCTGTACCTTCATGGAAAAAGTCCAATCTTGTCTTCATAAAGACTAGTGTCCAGAGTTTGTTTCATATTAAAGCTTAGTCCTTTGGAGCTTATTCAGTCTGCCTCAGGCTCTGGTGGACTGCTAGACCCACATGGTGTTGTTTG